CAACAGAACACCTTCACCCACACCCACACCCAGAACTGCTACATTTACGTTGGAAAATCTTTTTTTTTCATATATAACATCTGATCTGTTTATTTATCTATTTCCGAATGTTATACTCAGCAGCAGTCAAAGATTTTTATTTTGTCATTTTTATTTTTGTAAAAAACGGCGCTGGGGACGAATAGAAATCCTCTACTTGAATTTTTCTTTTGTCCTAGCGGAATTTTCATCTGACATTCTTCTGAGAATGGATTGCCTTTCTTGTTCATTTGCTTGCTATTTATCTGTCTAGGATCTAGCAGTATTTTATTTTGTCAACGGATTTTTATTTTTCTTGTCAGAATTTTTATCATGTTCTGCTGGGATCTTTATTTCTCCTAGCAAAATCTTTATATGCCGTTCTGGTGATACTCGATTCTTTCTATCGTTCAAAAACTCTCTATCTATGTGCCTAGAGCGTACGAAGAAAATAAATATTCGCTGTGTTTTCAAGAGTTCTGGACACATGCACTCACTCAAAAAATTATTGATACGGATGTACATGATGATATTTCATCGCTTATAACTAAGGAACAGAAATTGCTAAAAAGTTTCGGTTTTCGTCATTCGAGAGCCACATGTGAGTTGTACTAGTCACCTAAAAATCAAGGTTCTTGCTGCTTCCAAGGAGGAGCTAGAAGGATTGCAACTGAAAAGTCTGCATTTCGTACACTTAGTTCAAGACACTGACGTGTAAGGATTGAAAAAGTAGACATTTTTAAGAGTTCTCTGTACAATATGTAAACCGTTGGTATTTATACATATTAAAAGAATCATTATATATGAGTAATTGTCGAGGCTGTTGTAATATAATATTTCATGTGTCTCTGCAATTGCGCAATATCTGATATGTTATTATTCAAACAGAAAGAAAGAAAAAATATTTGAGATAAACTGACAGACAGAACAATAAAAGTAAAAAGGTAAATTTAAATATTTTTCACCTTTGCGCAATTACAGAGACACATGAAATATTACATCAGCCTCGACAATTACTTATATATAATGGCTCTTTTAATATGTATAAATACCAACGGTTTACATGTTCTACAGAGAACCCTTAAAAATGTCTACTTTTTCAATCCTTACACGTCAGTGTCTTGAATTGAGTGAAATTTGCCCAAAATGTAAATGGAATTGTGACCATTACCAATCAAATGACTTTTGCCGTTGTAGCCCATACGGTAAACGAGATTGTGATATAAGTCGAGAATATTGTTGGGCAGACATCGTAATCCACATTGATTTTCCGTCAAATCCTCGACTTTCCGAAGTTAACATAATTATCGATGGTGATAATTTTTCACAACGAGTTATAGTTGTATTAATTGATTATTTCATACATCAAGGATGTAAAACAGTTGGGATGGTTATTTCGCCATCGAAATATATTGGAATTATTAGTGGAAGTTATGGTGACCAGATCAAATTGGAGTTTATTCGTCTTATCGAAGGTGGACATGTACTGGTTATTTCGGCAGCTAATTCAATGTATTATGATCACACGGGTGGTTGTGAAGATGCAGTTGTTTTACACATTGGCATGTATCATCGAGCCATAGTACTCTCAAATGACATGTTCAAACCGAAAATTGGTGAAGAACATGAACTCATTCCAAATACCATTCTTCATATAGCTGAAATCAAAATTTCTGATTATGAAATCTTGCTAACATTCACCACTTCGTCTAATCTCACTCAAGCAGGCCCCGATGTTATAAACTATGTAATAGATAATGTTCTCGCGCAAAACACACCGACTGATCCCATATGTACAAGTTCAGCTATAGAACCTCATATTCCAGAAATTCTAAAACGACATCGAATTTATAATCTGAATAAACATCTGGATCGATGTGATCGTGTTCTTTATGAGCATTATTCAAAGCTGGAAAAATATAGTCAGCAATTAAATACGTTTACGAGACAAATAGAGAAAGCACCGATTAATGATATGGAGTTGATTGAAACATTAAACGTGAGAAAACAACAAGTGATTGAAAATAGAGAAGCATATAAAGACAAAATCGCATCACTATTAGAACAAAATATAAAATTTAGAGAAGAAATGGTTCAACAATTAACTATATTAGGTCAGTTAAAACTTTTTCAAAAGAAATTTAAGCCTACAATTTCGTTCGTCGTTTTACATTGTCCTTTGTCAGCATCACTTAGTAGAAACCCCCACTTGGAACAGAAACTAAATCAAGTTGGTATGGGCACCCCTGAAACTCGGCCATATTGGGTTTCACTATCTAAAATAACCATCAAAAAGCTATTCTGGAAAAAAGGTTGAGAGAAACTTGTTTATGTGACCCCAAAACCACATTTACAAAGTAAGGTGCGAAAAATTCAAAATCACAGGATACTAGGTTTTTTCATTTGTTAAATATGATTGAAGAGAGTGCACGTAAGTGCATTAGAAAAATTAGTTTTTAGTTTTTTAAAAGATCTTTTGAGAAAAAAATTCAACTGCTGAAGTTCGCGAAAAAGGCAAACCTTTCAATGAGCTTTTCTAGTGGAGTATGTTTTTGAAAAATTCTATAGAAATGTTTCCCATACCTCAATGGTCTGCCAGCCGATTCTCCGATAACTTTTACCTATACTGATGAATTTTTACTGTAGTTGAGTCGAAATTGAAAGTTTTAGAGGAGAATAATATTGCCATTTTAGAAAAAACATTCGATTTTCTTTTAAAAATTAATTTTCTCGGAAAGGAAGTAAAATATGTGGAAAAGCACTTCATATTCGTGTTGCTGGCAGTGAGACTAATAAAAATAAATAGAAATCTTGGCTTCGTCTCTTACCAATAAAAACTAGATGTGTTTATGAAATGATCCTAGAGTGATTCCACACATTGACCTTGGATCAAAAGCTCAGATCAGCTTTTTTCCTTAGAAAAATCTTAAATCAAGATTTTCCTCGCGTCTTACTTCAGTTTGTTATTATAGCTCAAATTATATACTTTAGTTCCATAAATTGACTTATTTATATAACAAACGTTTCGACCTCTTTGACTGAGGTCTTTCTCAGTGGTAAGAGTTTCAAGTAAATTAAACTAAAAATAGTTACATTCTTTTACAAGTAACGTTAACATATTGTCAACATTATATGCAAAAATTGTAGAAACTACACCGTGAGGGCAAAGCACAATTCTTACATCTAATGTTGATAATATGTTAAAGTTACTTGTAAAATAATGTAACTGTTGTTAGTTAATTTACTTTAAACTCTTACCACTGAAAAAGGCCTCAGTCGAAGAGGTCGAAACGTTTGTTATATAAATAAGTCAATTTATGAAACTAAAGTATCTAGTTGAAACTATAATTATTGGTCTGTTTTGTATCAGCAAAATCAATTTGTTAAAATACTTTAGTTTAGAAAAATGATCGTTTGTGTAGGTAACATTGATCGTTTTAAACCTGTATCCATTCGCTCCGGCCTTCCGTATTACATCTTTGGCTCGGAAAACAGCCTCGATATTGATACTTTAGTTCTTCTCAAAGACTACCAAAAACCGTCCACATATGTTGAATGCCAAAAACTGATGAACAAGTTCATTTACGAATTTCAAGATTTACACTGTTTCGCAAGTGACAAACCTGTCAATATAAATCTTGCAGTTCTATCAGAGGGCATAATTACATGGGTGTTGAAAGGCATTCCTGATGAAACCAATAACAGTGTCTTTCGTACATATCATTTACACAGACAACATCATCCACTGGAAATCCAGCGACTCGTTCCTCGTGATATTGAAAAGAAAATTATTCGTGCTACACGAGCTATTCTGTCTCAGCTAACAAAATCTGAACGACGACATAATGTTAAAAACGCGTTGAAAGCAAACCAACTCTATATTCGTCTCGATGCACTTAAGCCAATTTGTTTTCAAGAGCTCGATTTTAAACAATCCGAAAAAGATTTGACTGAGATCGTAAAACTGACTGCGTTTCAACTTGGCCAGACAATGGCTTTGGTAAAAGAAAACAGAGAACTGTATACAAAAATACAAGTAGCGGAATATGATCCGAGATTGAGGCAGTATCTAATGAGAGAAGCGGGATGTAATTTGGAAATATTGACGCAAGTTAAAAATGAATATGTCGCAATGATTGAACATATGTTTGTCCAACAGCCAGAATTAAGAACGCAAGCAGAAGTGCTAGTTACTGACTAAGTAGACTGTTTTCGTGCCTCGGACTGGCTATCGCACATGTGTCCGAAAATTTTCAATAGGAGAAAATATTTCCAAATTTCCGTATATTTTCTGTGTTTTAATCCATATGTTTATTATTGAATAAAAAAAACATCAGTACAAAATGAGTCTCCAGAAATACCGTGATGAAGTATATTTCTTATCGCTGGATGGTAGACTACTAGCATATACGCAAGATTATTGATAATACTCTCGGAAGTATTCTCTGTTGTTGTAAGTCGACAGTAAAACGTAATAGCAATAAACGAACTCATACCTATGACATTCATAATTGACAATACAGTAAATCTTTTCGCAAGATTAAAAGTTTCCTCAAAACTCGTATCGAGCGAGTTTTGAGACACCAACATTCACAAAACTTTACCTCAAAAACTCATTTAAGCTAAATACTACCACTAGAGCATCGAATGTAAGGAATTATCAAGCTTCTCTTTCGTCCTCGGTTCTTAACAACTCCAAGCATATCTTTTATGATCTACAATTTCAAGGATACTTAAGAGCAGGATTCTAATCATATTTTATCTCAATTAAAATCGATGATTTGTTTCACTGTATTTATTTTAATCATAAGAACATGGATGATGAAAAACTGTAGAAAGGAAGAAAATCGAAAGAAGACATATTGAATAAGAAAATTATTGAAAAGAATAATTTCGAAACAGTGGCGGAGCCAGGATTTCGAGCTAGGGTGGCTCAGCTCTTGACCTTTTTGCCTTATCTAAGAGTATATGAAATTTTTCCGTTAATCCTATGAAGAATATTTTTTTTTGGTGATTCTTTTTTCGTCAGGCTACAGATTCAGCTGAAGAGTAACGAAAACAAAAAACATAATATTTTTTCAATTTTAGTGCTTCATAGAAATAACAAAATAATATCATTTTTTTGATAGTTAGAATGCAGCCTATTTTTTTCGCATTAGTTTGAAACAAGTAGCGTTCGTCGGTTCGACTCACTTGACCATCGACTGTATAAGACAGAAGTATATTCCGCAAGTGAGTATCGAAAGAATTGATCCACCAACTTTATCACNATTCTACCAAGCAAATTCTCTGTCAACAGAAATTCTTTCCGAGACATTTCCAAGCAACACACAATACATTCGTAAACCTTCATATGCATTGTTAAAATTGTGAAATCAAAATGTCGCAAAATAATCAAATCAGCCAAGCGTTTCACGCGTGACAGAGGTACATATATTGCAGCAATGTCATCAGTTTCATTTGGCAGCTTCAGATCAATTACGACATTGCTTAAAGTTTGACCTTGAATTTTATGTGTTGTAATACAATACGCAGGTACAAGTGGTAGTGCACGCCGCTTTACTGATAAAATTGCCTTTCGATTTGATTTTGGTCTCTTATATTTTGGTAGAACATCGGCTATATCAATTCGAAATGTTTGTTCCATTAACGGTATCGGAATAAGATTTGATTGAAGTTGTTCAAGGTTACATTCAATCTTCGATTTGACAATTTCAACTAATGCATATGAAGGTTTACGAATGTATTGTGTGTTGCTTGGAAATGTCTCGGAAAGAATTTCTGTTGACACAGAATCTTCTTCGTAGACAAGTTGCCGAAAGATACCATTCATTCCGTTAATAAGACCCAATTCAATAGCAACGTTTTGTGTTAAAATAACAGGCATTTCAGGAACTAGAGGTAGCAAACCTGGTAGATGCTCTGTTTTGCTATCGGATAATTCTAGCAGTTTTTTAACGAGTATTGAATCTTCAATTGGTTTGCCTTTGCAAGTGTCTTGAGCCACACATATAATTGGTGCTTGTCTCATTTCTGCTGCCTTGTGAATTGCTGCCTTGTTGTTCAATTGTGTCTGTACTTCATTTCGGAACACAAGAATCGGAGCCTAAAAAGATGAAAATAGAAAATTGTTGAAAGCGAAAAAAGAAGACTTACTTTATTCCAAGGTTCATCGTGTAGAGAACCCACTGATGATTGTCCAACAACTCGTGTCAACAATAATTCATAATCGTCGTAATTACATTGTCCATGACGAAGTCGTTCGAGTAATTGAAGGTACCGTGGATCTTCTGTTCGCATTTGTTGAGTAAGTTTTACCACACAATTAATTTGAAGAATTAAAGAACGTGCAACACGTTGTTGAATTTCTTTTTCTGTGGGTAGCTTACCCGATTTCTTTTTGGATGGTAATGAAAAATCGGTGTGCAATGGTGCATCATAAACAGGTCGATATTGTAAGTAGTCACCAAAGAAGATAACATTCACACCACCAAATGGAACTTGAGGATCAACATGTTTTGCAGAGCAAATAATTCGATTAAGTTTTGNACAGGACACGTAAAAAATCCTTGTCCTGTGCTCATCTCTAATTTTTTTTTTCTTGAAAATTATATAAAATGCATTAGTTAGAAAATATTAATTGGTGATATTTGCTTTGTACAATGAAAGTAAAAGTAAAACTCACTCTTGGCATTTTACAACTTGTGAAAACGGATTTAATTGGTAGAAAAACGGCAGAAATCGTGACGTCTTGTCCTGCCGTTCGCCAGGACCGAGATAGCTAGCATGGCAGGGCAGGACAGGACAGGAGAGAAAATCTTGTCCTGTGCTCATCTCTGCTTTCGAACTCCAAAAATGTCTCGACTGCGCACCTGCAATTGTCAGAAAAACATTCAAGTAACTTATTAAATCCATTCTTGCATGTATCAACAAAAAGAAAATCACATTTTTAATCATGTTCGATCCATATTTGAAGAAACAATATTCAAAAACAAAAGAAGAGACGACATTTAACAAATATTAAGAGTTGTGATTTTTACTTCAACTCATTACCAAGAGGATGGATGATGACTGAATATTATCCCTCTTATTCTTAGACTGAGTATGCCCAAAAAAATCTTGCAGCAATTGAGTGTTCAAGTCAACGAGAAATGTAATGGCCGAAGATGACGGTCCTATTATGATTACAGGATTCGAGTTCAATTGTTATCCAACAAGTAGCATTCGTCGGTTCGACTCACTTGACCCTCGACTGTATAAGATAGGAGTATATTCCGCATGTGTTGTAATGAAAGAATAGGTTTACCGGCTTTATCACAATAACTGACTCAAACTTCTATTTGTTGAATTATAAAGCCGAAGAAATTGATCGATCTATTTGTAAAATACTTCAGGATAAATCTTACTTTTCAATAAGAGATTGCAAAACAGCAATTCTTTATCCAAGTACACTGTAGGAAATAAATGTTGGAAGCAAAATAAATTTTATACCAGCACACACTAGTAACACGATGAAATAAGCTGATTTTAGTTGGTAATAGGTGCTCTTGCATTATTTAAGAAATGTGATACTGAAAGTGTTGTGTTTATGAGTGACGTAAGATTATTAATGATTCAATGGCAACAGTGAGAATGTGAAGGAGAATGAAAACGTTAATGACTACTCAGCATCATTTTATTGTGTGATAAAAAAAGAAAAACTATAGCATAAAAATTCATTAGGAAGAACTACCAGAATGAATAGAATACATGTAAGCAAAATGTACGAGAAAAAGATATAAAATGCAAAAAACGAATACGAAAACTTTGAGACGTTTAACGTGAATTGCATATTTAAAATTATAAATCTTAAGAGTCATATGCAAAATTTTGTATAATATGAAGAAGACATTAAAACCATTCAATAAAACGCTTTTGTGTTTCTAAATATAGTTTGTCTAGTCTTTCTATTTCGGCGAGTTGAGATTTACTTGGTTTCATTGTTAAAAATGTGTAATCAAAATGTCGCAAAATAATCAAATCAGCCAAGCGTTTCACGGGTGACAAAGGTACATATATTGCAGCAATGTCATCAGTTTCATTTGGCAGCTTCAGATCAATTACGACATCGCTTAAAGTTTGACCTTGACTTTTATGTGTTGTAATACAATACGCAGGTACAAGTGGTAGTGCACGTTGCTTAATTGATAAAATTGCCTTGTGATTTGATTTCAGTTTCTTGTCTTTTGGTAAAACATCGGCAATATTAATGCGAAAAGTTTGTTCCATTAATGGTATTGGTACGAGATTTGACTGGAGGTGTTCAAAGTTGCATTCAATCTTCGATCTAACAATTTCAATTAATGCGTACAACGGTCTACGTATGTATCGTGTGTTATTGGGAAATGTTTCCGAAAGAACATCTGTTGACACGGGATCTTCTTCGTAGACAAGTTGTCGAAAGATTCCATTCATTCCATTAATGAGACCCAGTTCAATAGCAATGTTTTGTGTTAAAATAACAGGCATTCCAGGAACCAAAGGTAAAAGACCTGGCAAATGCTCTGTTTTGCTATCAGATAATTCTAACAATTTTTTAATAAGGGTCGGATCTTCAATTGATTTGCCTTTGCAAGTGTCTTGAGCGACACATGCCATGGGTGCTTGTCCTATTTCCGCTGCCTTGTGAATTGCTGCTTTATTGTTCAATTGTGTCCGTACTTCATTTCGGAAAACAAGAATCGGAGCCTAAAAAGATGTAAAGAGAAAATTGTTGAAAACGAAAAAGAAGACTTACTTTATTCCAAGGTTCATCGCGTAGAGAACCTACTGATGATTGCCCAACAACTCGTGTTAACACTAATTCGTAATCATCGTAATTACATTGACTGTGATGGAGTCGTTCAAGCAATTGAAGATACCGTGGATCTTCCGTTCGCATCTGTTGAGTAAGTTTTACAACGCAGTTGATTTGAAGGATTAAAGAACGTGCAACACGTTGTTGAATTTCTTTTTCTGTGGGTAGTTTACCAGATTTCTTTTTGGATGGTAATAAAAAATCGGTGTGTAATGGTGCATCATAAACAGGTCGATATTGTAAGTAGTCACCAAAGAAGATAACATTCACACCACCAAATGGAACTTGAGGATCAACATGTTTTGCGGAGCAAATAATTCGATTAAGTTTTGCTAGTAAATTTAAACCAACCATACTCATTTCATCGATTAATAAATATTCAACGAATCTTCACTCTTTTTCGAGTTTTAAATCTCCTGGTTTGATAGTTCGTGGCTTTCCAGAATTACGTTGTTCCCACAAAAATGAATGAATTGTCATACCGCCTATTTCAGCAGCAGCAATTCTTGTGGGTGCAAGCTTTCGCATCATTTGCATTCTTTTCGTAACAAGAAAGTATTTGCTGACAGCACGAATAAGCTGTGATTTGCCTGTACCACCACACTCAGGTATGCACATAATGAGTTGTCCATTATTATCACCTAAAAATACGATGCACTTCAATTTGCCTTACACTAAATTGTAAAACTACCTGTACGACATCGACTATCACCATCAAGATGACTTGTTATTATCATGAAAAAACAGCTCGTCGTTCTCTATTTAATGTAAATTCATCAGCAATACTTGTTTGATTGGGAAAGTTGGTTGCGACAGAGACAACTGGGAGAATCGAACCATAGCTGTCAAAGTTGCTTTGATTATAACTATTTGGATTCAGCACTGTGACAATGGCATCTTTTGCAGCTGGCAAATTTATCGTATTATCTTCTTCATCATAGTTGCCTGTAATTAAACTTCGTCTAACTCGTTCTTTCTCAGTCTTTAGTTGTTCTTGCCATTTTGTGTTTAGTCGAATAAGATTTGATGTTGCAGAAACGAACGGTACAGCTTTTTGATTTGGATAATCAATAAATTCATTTGAAGAAGGTTGATGATGAGCTACAAAAAATTTTACATATTTATTTTCAATTTTAACTTACTAATCATCTTACAGTGATACTTACTATTTAGATGACTGAATCGACCAACATTTTCGACTGCTTCAATTGTTTCTGCGATATATTTCTCTTCTGTTGATTTTTTGGTAGCATTAATTGCTGCAGTTGTATATTCATCTAAATTACCTAGTAATTCTAATAAATTTTCACTATCGTCCATATCACCTTCGTCATCAATATATTGATTTGCAGGCAAAAGAGCAGGATCGATTGCATCATTATCAGTTTGAGCTTCAGCAATAACTTGAAGTAAATGTTCATCACGATCTTTTTTACATTCATGTAAAAGTTGAATATTTTCTATGATNCGCAGAAACGATTGAAGCAGTCGCCACAGTACTAAAAGTGTAAGAAGAGCTCGACTATATCGCTCTCGAGTATCTTCACGATCACGTCGAGGAATTTGTGGGCCATAAAGAATAGGTACATGGGACTCACTGTATTTCATCAATAAATGTGTTGTTGCTTGTGGATGTTGTTTTTGGAAAGGATAACGTTCATTAGCTGGTCGACCTTTTTTGTTACCTTCTTCTTCTTCTATTGATACAGCAGTCTTCGACAAATATTTTACATCTGTTGCATTCATTTTTTTTCTTGTATAATATACTAACAAAGTCGTATAAACACATATTATTAAGATAATCGGAACGATACTGATAATCAATTCGTGTGTTAACAAGTACGGATTTTTTCTCGTTTTCAGTCGATTCAATTTGAAAATGTTCTTTTTCATCGTTTTCATTATCAATTATCTCATCATCATATACATCATCGTCGATCATGTCTGTAAACAGAATACATTATATATATAATTTTTTATCGAATTATGATATTTTAACTCAAGAAATTTCCACTGTTTTCTTTGGTTACTTCATANCGAAAGAAGACATATTGAATAAGAAAATTATTGAAAAGAATAATTTCGAAACAGTGGTGGAGCCAGGATTTCGAGCTAGAGAGGCCCAGCCCATGACCTTTTTGCGTTATCTAAGAGTATATGAAAATTTTCCGTTAATCCTATGAAGAATATTTTTTTTTGGTGATTCTTTTTTCGTCAGGCTACAGATTCAGTTGAAGAGTAAGGAAAACAAAAAACATAATATTTTTTCAATTTTAGTGCTTCATAGAAATAACAAAATAATATCATTTTTTGATAGTTAGAATGCAGCCTATTTTTTTTCTCATTAATTTGAAACAAGTAACGTTCGTCGGTTTGACTCACTTAACCCTCGACTGTATAAGACAGAAGTATATTTCGCAAGTGAGTATCGAAAGAATTGATCCACCAACTTTATCACAATAACTGATTTAAATTTCCATGCCCTGAATCGTAAAAGTCGAAGAAATTGATCAGCATCTTTGAAAATTAGTTTAGGATAAAGCTCAATTTTCAGCAAGAAATTGTAAAAACTAGCGATTCTTCATCCAAGTGCACTTCAACGAATAAATATCGGCAGCAAAATAAATGTTATACTGTTACACACTAGTGATATGATGATATAAGCTAATTTCAGTTGGTAATATATGCTCATACAGTAATTAAGAAATTTGATACTAAAAGTCTTTTGTTTACCAGCAACATATGACTTTAAATGGTTCATTGGTAATAATGAGAATGTGAAGGAATAGGAAAGCACAAATAACTACTCAATATCATTTTTTATGTGATAAAAAAACAAAAACTACGGCATAAAAATTCATCAACAAGGACTACCAAAATGAATAGAATATATGTAAGAAAAATGTGCAAGAAAAAGATGTAAAATGCAAAAAAAAAATTAATAATAGAAATATAAAAAGTTTAACATGAACTACATATGTAAAATTATAGATGTTAAGAATCATATGCAAAATTTTGTATAATATGAAGAAGACATTAAAACCATTCAGGAAAACGCCATTGTGTTTCTAAATATAGTTTGTCTAATCTTTCTATTTCGGCTGGTTGAGATTTGCTTGGTGTCATTGTTAAAATTTTGTAATCGAAGTGTCGAAAAATAATCAAATCAGTCAAGCGTTTTACGCGTGACAAAGGTACATACATTGCTGCAATGTCATCGGTTTCATTTAGCAACTTCAGATCAATTACGACATTACGTAAAGTTTGGCCTTGACTTTTATTTGTTGTAATAGAATACGCAGGTACAAGTGGTAGTGCACGTCGCTTAATTGGTAAAATTGTCCTGTGATTTGATTTCAGTTTCTTATCTTTTGGTAAAACATCGGCAATATTAATGCGAAAAGTTTGTTCCATTGATGGTATTGGTACGAGGTTTGACTGGAGGTGTTCAAAGTTGCATTCAATCTTCGATCTAACAATTTCAATTAATGCGTACAACGGTCTACGTATGTATCGTGTGTTATTGGGAAATGTTTCCGAAAGAACATCTGTTGACACGGAATCTTCTTCGTAGACAAGTTGTCGAAAGATTCCATTCATTCCATTAATGAGACCCAGCTCAATAGCAAAGTTTTGTGTTAAAATAACAGGCATTCCAGGAACCAAAGGTAAAAGACCTGGCAAATGCTCTGTTTTGCTATCAGATAATTCTAACAATTTTTTAATAAGTGTCGGATCTTCAATTGATTTGCCTTTGCAAGTGTCTTGAGCGACACATACCATGGGTGCTTGTCCTATTTACGCTGCCTTGTGAATTGCTGCTTTATTGTTCAATTGTGTCTGTACTTCATTTCGGAAAACAAGAATCGGAGCCTAAAAAGATGAAAATAGAAAATTGTTGAAAACGAAAAAGAAGACTTACTTTATTCCAAGGTTCATCGCGTAGAAAACCTACTGATGATTGTCCAACAACTCGTGTTAACAATAATTCGTAATCATCGTAATTACATTGACCGTGACGGAGTCGTTCAAGCAATTGAAGATACCGCGGATGTTCCGTTCGCATCTGTTGAGTAAGTTTTACAATGCAGTTGATTTGAAGGATTAAAGAACGTGCAACACGTTGTTGAATTTCTTTTTCTGTGGGTAGCTTACCAGATTTCTTTTTGGATGGTAATAAAAAATCTGTGTGTAATGGTGCATCATAAACAGGTCGATATTGTAAGTAGTCACGAAAGAAGATAACATTCACACCACCAAATGGAACTTGAGGATCAACATGTTTTGCAGAGCAAATAATTCGATTACGTTTTGCTAGTAAATTTAAACCAACCATACTCATTTCATCGATTAATAAATATTCGACGAATCTCCACTCTTTTTCGAGTTTTAAATCTCCTGGTTTGATAGTTCGTGGCTTTCCAGAATTACGGTGTCCCCCCTCCCAAAATGAATGAATTGTCATATCACCTATTTCAGCAGCAGCAATTCCTGTGGGTGCTAGCTTTCGCATCACTTGCATTCTTTTCGTAACAAGAAAGTATTTGCTGAGAGCACGAATAAGCTGTGATTTGCCTGTACCACCACACCCAGGTATGCACATAATGAGTTGTCCATTATTATCACCTAAAAATACGATGCACTTCAATTTACCTTACACTAAATTGTAAAACTACCTGTACGACATCGACTATCACCATCAAGATGACTTATTATTATCATGAAAGCAGCTCGTTGTTCTCTATTTAATGTAAATTCATCAGCAATACTTGTTTGATTGGGAAAGTTGGTTGCAATAGAGACAACTGGGAGAATCGAACCATAGCTGTCAAAGTTGTTTTGATTATAACTATTTGGATTCAGCACTGTGACAATGGCATATTTTGCAGCTTGCAAATGTATCGTATTATCTTCTTTATCATAGTTGCCTGTAATTAAACTTCGTCTAACTCGTTCTTTTTCAGCTTTCAGCTGTTCTTGCCATTTTGTGTTTAGTCGAACAAGATTTGTTGTTGCAGAAACGAACCGTACAAGTTGTTGATTCGCAGAATCGATAGATTCATTTAAAGAAGATTGGCAATGGGCTATAATAAATTTTACATATTTATTTTCAATTTGGACTGACTAATTGTCTTAAAATATTACTTACTATGTATATGACTAAAGCGTCCAACATTTTCGACTGCTTCAATAGCTTATTCAATATATTTATCTTCTGTTGATCTTTTGGTGGTATTAATCATTGCAGTTGTGTATTCATCTATATTGCCTATCAATTCTAATAAGTCTTTACTGTCATTCATATCATATTCACTATCAATATGTTGATTTGCAGGCAAAAGAACAGAATCGATTGAATCATTCTCAATTTGAGCTTCAGCAATAACTTGAAGTAAATGTTCATCGCGGTCCTTTTTACATTCATGTAAAAGTTGAATATTTTCTATGATCTTCCATGAATGAATAGAAATACGATTTTGTCGAGATTTAAAAGCATCTTCACATGTTTGATTGACGCCACAAAGATCAGTAACGGTGCGCCAAGGTACGAAAAGTGTGAGAATAGCTCGACTGTATCGTTCTCGAGTATCATCACGATCTCGTCGAGGAATTTGTGGACCATAAAGAATAGGTACATGACGCTCACTGTATTTCATCAAAATATGTGTTGTTGTTTGTGGATGCTGCTTTTGGAAAGGATAACGCTGACTATGTGGTCGAACTTTTTCGTTAACTTTGTCTGTCATCGATGCCGCAAATACAGATAAATATTTCAAATCTGTTGTGTTCATTTTTTTCTTATACAATGTGCTGACAAAATCGTATAAACACATCATTGAGAATATTGGAGCGATATTGATAATCAATACTTGTGTTAACGAGTACATATTTTTTATCATTATCAGTCGAGTGAATTTGAAAATGTTCTTCGGCATTGTTTTCATCTTCAATAGCTTCATCGTCGTATACATCATCGTCAACTATATCTGAATAAAAAAAGACAATATATATTGGTTATTATTTAATGATGAGATTTCTTCTCAAGCAACATTCGGTGTTTCGCATTCACATGTGCAGTAGAAGTAACAGGTAGAATATTTTTTTATTGTATAGTGTAAGATTTAAGTAACATCAAATAGAATATTTCGACGATAGAGAACGACGGAAGGGAGAAGAGAAAAAATATCGTATTAGTTCTTCGTACGACAGCCAGTGGAAAGAAATATATATGGTGAATACCACTAATGCAGGTGTAACGACACCAAAAAATACTTTTGATGAATAAAAAATCATTAACTCAAATTTTAGAGACAAGCTCCTCTCAGTTCTCACTTCCTTTTCACAATATATTCTGTGATAACTTTTAAGATTATTACTATTAAAAGATTGAATAGAAAAAAAATAAAATACTGATCGTGTGCCGAAAATTCCAATTTTTGTTTGGAGCATATTTCATTCAATTGCGTTTGTAAATACCGTTCGGTTTGAATTAAATAAAGACCTTGGAACTTGTGTGTTGTGTAATGATCATCCAAATTCATGAGATTAGAAGCAACTTGAACTACAGATAGCTCTTGTTGAGAAGCAAGTGTATTGTAACATCTTAAAACAAGCATCCGTGATTTTTCAATTGCACTTTCTCTGTCTGTTTGATGAGAACGAATCTATAATTGATGTTATACCTTTTTGTACAAGAGCAAATGTATCATGAAAAGAGANCATTTTTCTATCCAATGTTAATACGAGAGCTGGAACGTGTTCTTTAACTTCGGCAATGGTAACTAGGATGCTTTCTTTAGAATTGTAACTTTCTTCTACCCAAGCTCGAACAATGTCGGCGTCATTTTTCAAGGCTGTATCTATCGCCATTATATTTAATGTTTTCGATAACATCGCTACTAGTTGATTCGAAAACAGTTGTATTTATCTATACAGATGCACCGCCACATCATGGAACAACCGGCGGTTCTTCTCGAGCAAAAGAAGAAAAAGCGATCAAAGAAAAAGATTGGATTCAACTGTGCAAACTGTATCACCAAACAGGCTGTAAAATATTTTCATTTATCAATACGTCAAGATTCGAAATAGCATCATTCTATATTCTTCTCAGTGCATATACACAAGGCAAAGCATTACGTTTACGCCGTACTGACGTACAAACGATTTCAAAATGCACTATCAATCTATTCTTAGGGTATGCATAAACATTTGATAAATGAGTATTATGCTTTTATTGTACTTTATATTCTAGTTTATGTAATGCCGAATACGAAGCAACAGATTTAATTGAATGCTTAAAATTCCCCACTATTGATTTGTCTGTTTTTCATGATGAAAACGATGCATGCTCTAAGAATCGCCTATATTTACCTTGTCGGATATCTCGACCGCATGAAAGAATCGAAGCTGTATCATTTTCTGTGGACCCAATCGAATTTATGAAAGTCGATTTACGATTTATGTTGGCTAAATTCGAAAATGATGACCAATATAAATCAGTTGTCTATGAAACATTTAACTCATTGATGGTTCCACAACACATTGTTGCCTTAACATACAACAGTGTATTGGGCTTACTATGGCGTTCAGTTTGTGGAAAAAGAAAAGATACACATCGAGATCAACTAGTAGCGATGTTATCGAAAACATTAAATATAATGGCGATAGATACAGCCTTGAAAAATGACGCCGACATTGTTCGAGCTTGGGTAGAAGAAAGTTACAATTCTAAAGAAAGCATCCTAGTTACCATTGCCGAAGTTAAAGAACACGTTCCAGCTCTCGTATTAACATTGGATAGAAAAATGAGCAAAACTGAATTATTGGAAATTACACGATCATGCAGTCCGCAAACAATACGTAATGTCATGTCGTTATTAAATCATCTTACTGTTGTGAACGATCTTGAAAATCTACCAGAAAATTATTTACCATTGAATATGAATGATGATGATTTATTTCAACTGTTGCCGCATCTTTTAGCAGAAGGTTTGATATTTTCATTGCGTCCAGCGGCCATCATAGCAATGCTTTGTATATTATCAAAGAATGGTATACTTCACCAACGAGCCACGCAATTTTTAACAAGCATCAAAGGCAAATGGATTGATTTCGAACAAACGGAAAATTATACCTATAATCTATGTAAAATTTGTGTTCAATTACTACAATTTTTTACTGAAGAAGAGCAGTCATTTTTCAAAAAGCTCTACATTGTCGGTGGAATAAAAATAAATGCTAGTACACGTATAAATATCGAACAACCGTTCACGCCAACAGTGAAAACTGTACGTCATGATACGAAAATTTGCTGTAAAACATGTAATATTCTTCGATCGACTACATTGTATCCAGATATCGGAAAAAGTTCTTGTGCATTGTGCTTGCCAGAAAACGATCTCCAGAATTTACCCGAACCGTGTTCAGAAGAAATGTCGCATTTAGTCGAATGCAAAAAGTGTAGTTGTCTATATGCCATTGTTCAATATGAAAAACTATCTTCATCGCCGAAATGCTATTATTGTCGAGATTTAGGCAGAGATGCACCCTATCGTCGTTGCACGGGATGTCAAAATAAATATGTTCATTATGACTCGACTAAACTAATACCAATGCCCGGTGAAGAATATACATTTCTATGTGCTGAATGTCAACATTCGGCGAATAACCGAGCTACAAGCAATGGCGAAGTTTCAATCAGTGCATTAATCAATGAAAATAAAAAAATTCTATTCAAATATTTGAATATTAACGTAAAAGATGATATTGATATATTTTCACGCGATTGGTCACTATTCAAACTACGAGATAAAGTCGAATTACTAAGATCAAAGATTGTTAATTCGACTCCGCAATCGACTTCTTCAGTGGTATTAACTTTTAAAAATAAGCTAATATTCGATCCAGCGGCTGTGTTTAGTCAGATTCGATCATGGATACGAAGTGGTAGATCCGAAATCGTAACATGCTATATATGCTGTGATGATATTCCACGTGATAGAATGAATGCTACTTGCAGTAATAAATTGTGTCTTGCTGAAGCATGTGCTGAATGTTTAACAAAATGGTATGAAGTCGTTCAACCAGGCGGTATTGTATTAATTGCACATCTATCATGTCCATTCTGTAAACATGCACCCAATGGAAATATTCTTAAACGATACAATAAACAAGCTTGCACAATTCTGAGATCGGATAAGAAAAATGATTACGATGAACATTGGTATTACGGTTGGTGTTTGGATTGCTATAAAATTAAAAAGGCACAAGAAAAAGTTTGCATGGCTGATGGTGAAATTCCTCAATTAGAAGACTTTGTCTGTAATGAATGTGATGAAAAACGTAAACCTTCAATACCAATCGATGTTAAATATTGTCCAGGTATAAACCAGACCACGAACAATGTCTGTGGTGTGGCTGTCAGTAAAAATGGAGGGTGTAATCATATAACGTGTAGTGCATGTAATTCACATTGGTGTTGGCTATGTGTTACAACATATAAACGTATCTATGAACATTTGATGGCAGCTCATGGAAATTTCGGTTTTGAAATCGACGGTCATGAAAATTTTTTTGATGACTATTATGATTAAAAGAAAAGAAATAACTAACGAGGGAACCACCCAAAGTGACATCTTCCTGTTTCATTCATTTGTCATTTTCTAATCTTCTCCCTTCAAAATTTATCTGCGTTTTTCTATTTTTTACCTTTATACTCTCTAAAAAAAAACCGTTTCCTAGAAAACCGAAACCAGTTCGGAAACCCTCTCGGAAACCTTTAAAGGTATCCGAGAGGGTTTCNTACCAGATGCATATTCTATTACACTCAGTGGAATGCATTTTTCAAAAGACATCAACGATGGAACTGAAAGAATTTTGCTTTTCACAACAAGTGAAAATCTTAAATGGCTGCAAAAAGCAAAATTTTGGATTATGGATGGAACATTTAAAACTGTTCCAACTTTATTTCGACAATTATACAGCATTCACGCGCCTGCTGGCGGAAATATTAATTCCAGAATTGTTCCATTAGTTTACGCGCTAATGACTGTGAAAAGCGAAGAATTATATCAAAGATTATTTCAAGAACTAAATGAATGGGCAGAAGAAAATGAATTGGAATTAAAACCAGACTTCGTATTAACTGATTTTGAAAAAGCTTCAATCAATGCAGTAAAATCAGAATTTTCAAGTGCTCGAAGCAAAGGCTGTCATTTTCATTTAGGCCAAAATGTATACAGACAAATTCAAGATGCAGGACTAACCAAAAAATATGGAACTGACCAAGACTTTAGTCTTCTTATACGACATATTCCTGCTTTGGCTTTTTTACGTCCCTTAGAAATTCCTGATGCTTTTGACGAAGTCAAAGCTCTATTACCATCTGATGCTGAACCAATTATTCAGTGGTTTGAAAATAATTATGTACGTGGAAGAATAAAAAGAACATTTAGAAACGGCACGGTTCAAAGACACGATCCATTACATCCACCAGAAATGTGGTCCGTCTTCGATAACACGGAGTTTGCATTTCCAAGAACCCAAAACAAAGTCGAAGCCTGGCATAGACGCTGGGAAACATTAATAGCTCGACCTCATGTTGGCATTTTCACTATGATTAAACAAATTCAAAAAGAACAAAATGAAGTTGAAATGGAAATTGAGCAATCAATGCGTGGAGAACCAGCTCCAAAGAAACGCAAAGAAGATGAAAACAGAGAAGCCAGAATTCAAAATGTTATTGCTGATCGTGGCAATAGATCAACTATCGATTTTCTTCGGGGCATTGCTCATAATCTTTCATTGTAAATATTTGTAATTTTTATCAACAAAAATTTTAAAAAATCTAAAAAAAGAAGAAAATTTATAAAAAACCCAAAAAAAGAAAAAATTTTTTAAAATATAAAAAAATTAGATTTTATGTCGTAATTATTCGTGTTTGTTGTCCTTGTCTATCTGTATGTTTGTCCTTTGTTCACGGGATACTAGTTTATACACCTCCTCCCGGTGTACCCTGGAAATTACTAGATTTAGTAGGCTAAGATATGAACAAAGTTTGTCGGCAAAAAGAATAGTCGGCGAAACAAGTCGTCGGCAAAAGAAATCGTTGGCAAAGTGTACATGTCGACAAAACAATTTGTCGGCAAAGTGTACATGTCGACTAAACAATTTGTCGGCAAAGTGGTGTCGGCAAAATGATGTGTCGGCAAAGTGATTGTCGGCAAAGTGAATGCGACCCATATCAACTGCCACATATAAAACGAAATCAGAGACAAGGATTTTTGGAATCTTGACTTTATTAATGACTCATTGTCACATATATACAATAGTTCTAATTTTGTTATCAGTGATACTATTTAACCATCGTTATCACCATCGAGCGACACTGGTAAACGACAAGGAATTGAATTCATGCATGCATAAACTTTTACGAGAGATTTTAATTAACATGAAATCGAAAGGAGAAGAAATCATTGACTTTCATCATCATAAACTCTTCAATAATCAAGCAGAATTAAACGATGCTGATGACTCTACAGATTATCATGATGGATGTAATGGTATTTATTTTTTGGTACACGCGTCATACATTTATCTATCGTTTATTGACTAAAGCGTGCGAATATTTTCATTTTTATATTGCAGCATGTAGCTACGTACAATCGTACCCATTTTCTGAGAATTTCCATGAAATAATAAATGAGAGTATTGTTGTTCTGTGGTCGATGCGAAAGTGTCGAACCGATCTAATTTAGAAAAAAAAAGATTTTTGATTTTGATTTGAATGAAACTCTCGAATCATTTGTCTCTTTCGTGGTCTCTATTGATTTTGATGATCATCGAACATTGAAGATCTTCTTTTTTTCAAGTTTAATTATTGACTATTGTTCTTGTAGAAATCTTGTTCAACGAGGAATCGTTGATCAATCCAGATAACTGTGTTCAGTACGTCGAGCTGTCTTCAGTAGGTTTTATTCTCAAGAGGCTTCGAATGGAAGCTTGTTTTCAGTATGGGGTGGGGGTGTGTGGGTGTGGGTGTGGGTGTGGGTATAGATCTTTTTTCGAATAACATCCACACGCCCATATCTACCCCGCACCTCACACCAACACCCACACCCAACGTAAGTTGAACAAAGTCTACTGTAAAATGCAAAGAGAGGTTACGGTTTAGATTGTTGATTGAAGCATCATCTAGTGGAACTGATGTGAGTTCAGAAGAATAAGCTCGTGTTCATATTCATAATAATCATACGTTTTCTGTCTTTGCTGCTCATGCATTCGGCAGCGAATCATGTCGATTTATGCTCGTTCATGATGCTCATTTTGATTCAAATTATCAAGAAGAATCCCTGACAGAAAGTGTTCTCAATTAATTCAGTTTAATTAATCATAGACAACATTCTATAGATGCTTTTTTGATATCATGATCTTCATTTCTTGGTTATTTTTCGTCAATAATTACTTCAACTTATAACAGTGATCATTTTGATATACGTGAACAAAATAAATTTACTCGATCATCTGCTCAATACATAACAATGTATTATTTTCATGTGGCACAGTAAATATATTCTTATGTTCATTTTTGTTAATCGATAATTCTATATGATATCTTTAGAACGTCATTAATCAATATAAGTTTATTGTACCATTGTCGTGATCGAACAGCACATGGTTCTCATGCTCAGTCATTCGTTCTGTGTGATGCTGACAAATTAGTATTAACTGGTACTGTTGGTAAACATGAAAGCATATTAATATGTAAATATGGAAGCTTCACATATTGGACACGATCATTAAGAGCTGGTTACTATTCACTTAAACCTTTTTCAACTTGTTTCTGGCAAAATGATAAAGAAAATAGACATTTTACTCTTGTCATAATTACATTCCAGTGTTCAACTTAATTTAACTATGAAACATAAACCAGCAAAGTTTCTTGCTGATTGTCTAATTTGAACGATTGTAAAAGATTCCAAGAAAGAACAGATTCGTGTGTTTGTATTTCTTATAAATATAATTGATTAAAAAATTAATTTTTTTTTTTTTTCAAGGACAAAAAAGCTACCTTTGATACAAAATCAAGTATATTAGGCTTTAAGATATCCATCGTCGAGAATGCATCGATAACCAATTATTTAAGCTTTTACATTGATATACAGCTAGCAAAAATATTCAGGAGTGTGGGTTTGAGGTGTGCGTGTGAGTGCAGATGTCGCTGTGGATGTGAATGTAACTACAGAGAAGACCTATACTCAACGACACTCACACCCACCCGTATTTAATAATTGAGATTTGTATCTTTTTAAAAAAGATGAGAACGTGTCCCGCAATGGCGTATACATGATTTTTCGGGTAGAGAGAATTTCATTACATGGTTTTCGATTAGAAAAGTCTCGAAATAGAATTTCAAGAGTTTTTAAAGCATTTCATATTGATATTAGAATACCATTTATAAAAGAAACGATGAGAGGAGAAAAAATTAAAAAAAGCACTATTGAATTCATTTTGCCCATTATACCACGATTCTTTCTTTTATGATTCACGCAAATGTGTTTCGTTCATGTATTCATAGATATGATTCGTTTATTTTTGTATATACATTGACGATATTATCAGCGAATTAGCAATGATAACTGCTGAATGCGTTCGTCGATTCTGTTAATCATCTCATTTGCCGAAGGAAATGTTTTACGAAATATAATTGCTGCTTTTTCGTAATAAGATATCGCTTGTTGAAATTTGTGAATTCTCATGTAAACGTCCCCTATATCTAACAATAAACGTGCAATATCAGGACAATGAGGAGGAAGAGATTTTTCATAAATATTAAGTGTACGAAGATAATGCTCCAAAGCAAGATCATAATTACCGAGTTGACAATAGATAACAGCGATATTTTTGTGTGATTGACCTAAATCTGGATGACAGGGAACTAGATGTTTATTGTATAAGGCTAACGCTTTCTGATGACAATCAAGTGCTTCTAGAAGTTTATTTTCTTTCCCATAAGTGATACCCATATTATTGAAACAGAGGGCTATGTCACGATTGTCTTCACCGAGTGATCTCTCGAATATCATTAATGCTTTTTTGTAAAACTCAATTGCTCGTTCGTAATCCTTTTTGCAATCACAGACACAACCAATACAATTATAACTATCTGCAAGGTCGAGATCATTTGATTCCAATATATTTATCATTATCTCAAGTGACTTTTGATGCCAATGAAGACTCAAATCATAATCTTCCTTATCCATAGCAATCATACCAAGGTTGTGGTAGCAGGAGTAGATCGCTTTTGAATCATTTTCCGGTAGTACACTAAGTAAACGATGAAAATATTTCTCGGATTCATTTAATTTACCAGTTCTATGTAGAAGAGCACCGAATGAGAATAGACTCTTGTCGTCAGCTTCAACTTCATATTCTAGTTGTTCAATAACAGATTTTAAATCCTGATCATTATGATTGCATAATGTCATATGAATGATCCATATTTGATCGTCTTCAATATGTCTGATAGTGTTAATTCGAAAAATAGCACCTAACATAAATAATACTTCTTGCTCATCCATCATAAAACTGTGTCTGGTGATATCGGCAAAAGGTTTCGTACCATTAATTTGTGGATTAGCATCAATTTCAAATAAGACTCTTTGTAAATCATTATCTAATTCTTCCGAACTACCCAAGAAAAATAGCGCTAAATCACGATCGACACTTGTGGAAAGAAATGTATTCATTGAAACAAGTTCTCCAATAGAATTTCTCAAAGTATTCAACTCATCATTCAATATTAATTGTCCACGGTAGACTCGAATTGATGATGAATATTGATATTCGTCCAGTTGTTGACAAAGATCTTGAATAATAAATCGAAGAAGATAGAGTAAATCAATATTCTGTACTCGAAGAGCCTTATTTAACATCCGATAGAGAAATGAGTCTCTAGTGTACCACCATATAGCTCGTTCACGTGTATATTCTTGTTCAAACTCGCGAATAAGCTCCAGAACTGGTCTATTATTTTTATATTCATTACGAACTAGTGTAATCAGTTCATCGAATTCTTCCGATGTTGATTTCAGGCTAAGTAGACAATTGATCAATAGTTGTGAATTAATAAATTGACCATTTAATTCAGTAGTCGATTGTTCAGAATTATTAGAATTGAAAACACTAAATGGAAGTACTTCATCAATATTATTACGATATTGATAAGAAAGGATTTCCATTACCAACGTGTCCAATGTCACGGATGTACCTTTGACCTAAAATGAAGATGTGAATATAAAAAAGAAGATAAACCAACGGATATTTAATAAGCAATGAGCTTCTCAGCAGTTTTCATATTCATTCTTTTCATTTGAGCTCTTGGATCAAAGTTGTTTTTCAAAAACTGTTTCGTAAAATTCTATACAAGATAATCTTATTGACTTAACCTAAATATTTTTTATTGACTTCAAAAATATGTGATAGCCGCTTACAAAAATCATGAAAACTTTCGTAAAATAAGTTCTTCATTTCTCTAGTCAGAATAAATTTTCTTGACATGATATTTTTATTTATATTTTATTTCAGTTCAGTTTAGACAAAAAAACCTGATCTGTTTTTTATCAGCGATAAATTGGGATAAAATTATTAATTAAGAGAAATTTTCTAAAATTGGTTTTAATTAAAGGAATAACAAAGTAGTGAAAATTCTGAAAGGAAAGATGATTTAGGTTTTACTGTCGAAAGTGTTGACTAATCTGATGTGAAACATAATAGCCAATGAATATTGCAGCATTTTGCAAAAGAAATGATACTATTCCTCGGCAGGCCATGACTGAAATCGACTGGCTCGTCATTCAGTGTTCGATATTATGACTTGACCTATTACAAAATATTCGTTTTTATTGTCGTAACTCGATCATGTTTCATATTTTAACATCGTAGGCATTGAGCAGAAAGCTTTCAAATGGTTTTTGAAGCCAATAATAAAATATTGAGATTAAGTCAATATGTCATTTTGTAACGAATTTGTGGACCATCTTGAGGAAAAAAAGAACCCGACCTACTACAATTGAAATTAAAAGAATTAGTAGATACGACATCGAAAAGTAAAATTTTTCTAAATTATCCGTTATTTTTCTCTAATGCAATAATTTTTGTAAACCTTTCTGAATTTTTTAGTCCAATGTTCTTCGGTTTCTTTTTTTATACAGTGGACGTAGATTGCCGAGACTTGTCGAAAATGATGAACTCGAGACACCAGCTCTTGTCCGAATTGATCATCGACAATTAAAATAACTCGATCATGTTTAAACAAAGCTGCAATATGTTGTTCACAATCATCGATTTCCTTAAATATCTTCAAATAATGCACTGATGTACTAAGTCTTTGTTGAGCATTAATATAGTCTGCTACGTCATTATCAAAAGGTTTGAACCACACAAGAGAAAATGTTTCGAGATCATAGTCTCCTGATGAGCTAGTTGTTTTGATCATTAATAGAATTTCTATAATATTGGACCATATACTATATAAAGATAAACTTGAACTTCAGCCACTTTTGGACTTGAAATAGATTAAAATTATTCAAGAGATTTCTCAATCGTAAACGAGAAGAATCGCTTTGAACTAATCGAAAAGCATTTTGTTTTCTCTGTCGACTATTTGCGTATTGTACGAATGCATGTAATCGCACGTGTTTCTCTCGTCATGGATGAGTACTCATCAAGAAATATACCAACATAGACGTTAGATCGTACAATCAATTTTCATTTGCCTATCGATAAATTATATTTGATGTCGACACAACAATCAAAAGGAGCAATCGATAGAGATGATCAATTTACATTTAAAAAATTTATTAACCCTTTAACTGACGCCGACGTATATATACGTCATGAACTTTATTAGTGTACAAAACTAGCACAATCAATCGTAATGCATATTTTTTTAGATTCGTCTGCATAGAGATAAGCATCAAATAGCTAAAGCTTGTGATACCATCGTTTCATAATGGCATGTTCTAGAATTATGTCTTAGAAAAAAGAGTATACATAAAGAACAGTCAGTGTGGTGTACATATGGTTGTCTTTTGTTCTCTTGCTTCTTTTCTTTATATTGCATGAGAAGCACGCAAGCCATATCTTTCTCGTTTTCTTATACATTGGGGTTACTTCAGTGCATTTTCTTGTCTTCTGTTCTTTCTTTCTTTCTCTCTCTCTCTCTCTCTCTCTCTCTCTATATATATATATATATATATATATATATATATATATATATCTTTCTCGAATATATTCTATTATGTTCTTTCTTGTCCCTTCCAAATGTATATATACCCATCATTTTTA